TTGTCATAATTTCAAGATTTGTATTAGTTTGTATGTTCATGCTAATTTCTTGAAGATTGATGATTTGAATTATCTTGTTCTTATGAGGTTCTTAGATTAATAGAAAAGTTGTGTGAAATAGTTGTTTTCAATCCATTTTAATCTAAGAGTTGATTCTAAAGTGTATTTTTGTAACTTGTCCTCAAGTTATATGAAAAGTCACATTTAAGAATCATAAAACTCATAAAAGTTGGCAAAGGTTACAAAATGAAGAGTCTAGTTCTAATTAAATGGTTTTATGACTCCATAACTTGTCCTCAAGTTATGGAGGTTCAAGAGTCTCTTCATTAAATTAAAAAAAAAGTGTAACCTTAATTAGTTCCATAAGTTACAATAAAAAAAGTTATTTTTTTTATTAATTAGTTTAAAGTCTTCCATAACTTGTCCTCAAGTTATGGAACTTGAAAAAAAAAAATTTGTTTTTTTAATTAAAACTACTTTAAACTCATAAGTTATGGAATTAATTAGTTTTGAATAGTTTCAAAACTTGCCCTCAAGTTTTGGAATTTGAAAAGTTTTCACTTATGAATACTTTAATTCCAAGTTAGCCCTTAGAATTTTAAAAGTTAAAATTCAACCCTTATACTTTATAATATTATAAGTTAATAATATTTATATATATGTATAAGAGTAAAGTCAGTCTTACCGTTAGTAGGCCTCATTCACGAAGCCGGTCTATAAGGGGGGTATAAGGTTACTACCTATAAAATGGCAGTTTAATGGGTGTCCACTCTCACCCACCGCTTCCTTGACTGGTGGAGGGTCGTTAGCCGAACGGGTAGGACAAGGACTATAATTCTCCTTTCATTAAAAGTATTAATGATAAATACTAAGTAACTAAACTCTTATTAATACCCAATCTTAGTTACTTAGGAAAATGTGAATTTGGTGCTAACCCATGAAATTACACTTTGCACTTTGCTTAAGTCGTTAGTGGAGCGTGTGTGGATAACCGGCACACTAACCTGGACTTAACAAGGTAGGCAAAGGGTAACTTAATATTTATCATAGTATCGGTGGAGCGTGTGTGGTTAACCGGCACACTGATTAAGGGGTAAATATTAAGGGTACCAAGTATATTTGCATGGTTATTCACACCTTGTTTTGTGATCCTCGGCATCCCAGTCACAAAACCTGAAGGGCACACTCGAGATTGAAACATGCCTTTGAACAGTTCAATGAATCTCAAAGATCTAGGACTTTCAAATCCAATTAAAACCCAATAAATTATTTCGTTTTTCATGGTGGAAATTGGTGAATCGTCATTCACCTACCTTCAAATATTTTATAGCTTGGATTACGGCATCCCTCTTCTAAGTTATAAAATAGTTTGTTGGGTCCTAGCCTTAATATTTCATATTAGGTGTCATATTAAGGACTTTAAATCAACTATCTTGAATATCTCCCAAAAAGATGTCTGGTCTAGACATTTATGATCTTCCCAAATCTCTTGAAACAAGCTTTCCTAAATGAAGATGATGTCCCATGGATATCATACTTCTTTCACCTCCTCCAATTATTCTCCCTACCCCCACAAATTCCTAAAAAGTTTAAGGTCACTCAAGCCCTATTGGCAAGGCAAGGTCTAGGTGTGATCACATCTTGGAAATGTAGTCACATATTGACAAGCCGGGAGAGTTGGGTGTCAAAGTCTTGAGAAAGTTGGTGGCTCAACTACTTTCTAAGTCACATAGTGAGTTCTTTTGGGAATCCTATGAAACAGACTAAGACAAGACCCTTAATGATCTTATCTATTTGCTAAGATCAACTTCCTAAAACGCTATGGACATTGACAATGATGCCATTGGATATCCAGTAAAGCTCTCTCTTCCCAATGGAAAGGGATCGGCCATAGTCAACTCTGTTGACCCAATGGTAAAGAGAGAGGCGAAGTCTGAGATAGTCCCATTATCAAGGATCCATAGGTAACTATTGCCAAAGGAAGGGGCATTGGTTACGAAGCTGCCAAATTTACCTAAGGATGTTAAAGTCAATAAGTTTGGCTCTACTTCAGGTAAAGTCCATTGTCTAACTCTATTAAGTACATGCTGATTCTGATCGCGAAGATGGATTTCAATCGCATGGTTCGGTGATCAGAATTTTGGGCTATTACTTAAGAGTTATGATATTTATATTGCTTAGGAATAGATAACAACAAGGTTTTCATATGGATTGTAAGGATAAGTTTTTCCGCAAAGTTTTAAAATAAAAGAAAAAGGTTTTGATTTTATTTATTTTAAGTATCCTTACAATGGCATTTGTGAAAAGTTGTTGCTTATAAAATTCCATTGATAGCAATATTGGAAAAATGGATTTGATTCTTTCGGTTGTGGTAGTGTCTAATATTACCAAATAAGGAAAGATTCTCATCACCCAAGGTTCAATTGGACCGAAACTTGGAATCATGCAAGTTGTATAGTATGATGAATGAGAACTTTCAGCTTGGAAAATTAAGACTAATTCCTTATGTGAATAAGGAAAGGACTAAGGGATCGAGTACACATTCTTGTGCACTGGTCAAGTCCACCACAAAAGATCAAGAAGACTATTCGTCATGATTTACTTAAGTTCAGTAAATATGGTTATACTTATAAGTTTAAGTATAAGTCTGTAGCATTGGAGAAGTTTCAATGTGAGACAGAACGAATAAGAAGAATCAAAGTATGGCAGAAAGATAAAAGTTTCTCAAATCTGAAAAGATGGGAGAGTACTTTAGTATCATGTTTATGATCATCTTAATGATTAAGATACCATATCACAATTGGTCCTCTAAAGTCATCTTAGTGCATTCTTATGACTAAGAAGAGGACTCATGAATTGTTGAAATGGTTAAATCAAAAAGATGAGTCATACTTCGTTCCAAAACAATTCTTAGAGTCATACTCCAAGATTGTAACTTGAGTGACATATCTTAAAGAGGGTTTGTTAACACTAGTCAAATGTAAGAGTAAAAGGTTATATACTCTTGTACATTTGAAATTGGTAAGTTGTGATGTTTTGGATAAAACAGAGACCAACTTAGGCCAATTGTGTAAAGTGTTAGTCTTGATAAAGAATCCGCACTATCTCTTGAATATTTGACAAGGGAGTCTTATATGTCAAGAGGACAGTGGGAGTCTTAAAGCTCTTGAAAGTTTCAAGACTTAATCAAGAATAAAACCTAAAGTCCTTCACTAGCACACGACTTGAGGTTTATAACCTATCGTGTTGAAATTTTTGTGCCTATTCAAGTTGGCTTTGCATAGGAGTTCTTAGAGTTCTCAATTGGTTTCACAACTACTTGGAAGCAATGGCAGGCACCTGAGCTGCCAAATGGCAAGAATTTAAGATTGCACAAGTTTAATCAATATGAGTTTGGATTTGTCACTAACCTTGTCTTGTGATTATGGTTTTGACAAATTCACATGGATAAGAACACATACACTATTAAATCTAAGTGTCATAAGGTTTCTCTCCGATTCATGAAAATGATGGTGAGGAAACACTTTCACTAAGTAGATTTTAGCTAGATAGCAATTGTGATATTTGCATTCTCAAAGTCGTTAGTGGAGCGTGTGTGGTTTACCGGCACACTAACATGGACTTGTGAGAAGTGGCAAAGGTCTAAACAATTGATACTATGATTACGACATCCCTTTTCATAGTTCTAAAATTGTTTAGACACACATGTGAGCTATCTAAGAGAGGTGTATGATTTTGATAAAGTTTTATCAAAACAATCTAGTATCAGAAATCTGAACTTTGGTAAGAAAGTCAGCTGATTTCTGAGTACATGTCAAAGCTAGTGGGAGCATAAGTGTTATGCTAATAATCATCATGTTAGTGGGAGCATGATAATTATGACAAAGGTTGCAAGTTAGCAATGTTAATTATAGAAAACAAAAGTTTCAATTCGTGAGGTTGTAGGGGTTGAAAAAGTTGTTTTGCTATAATTAAGGGAGAGAAAATTATACTTCATTTCAATTCTAAAAGCTTAGATTAAGATTTTAATCGTATTTAATCAAGGATATATATATGAATTTCATGTTGGAATGGCTCAACATAAGGAAATTCTATATATGGGTCCATTATTTGCGTTCTAAAATTCGATTATGATTACGGCATCCCTTTTCATAATCTGAATTTTGAGAACTTGGCAAATTGAAATAGAAATATTATAAATCTGGCGGCGAAGTAAGAAGAAAGTTTTACAAGTCTTTTCACCCTTGTAAAAGTTTCTTCTTGCTTCGCCGCCAAATCTTGAACTAAAAAAAGTAGGAACAGATTATACAAACACAAACAACACATGCCTAGTCAAAAGGGTGTGAATGTTGAGAAGGGAAAAAATGGCAATTTCACTTTTTTCGGTGTCTTATTTCTCCATTTTTAGGACTGCAAAAAGCCAACACAACCCTGGTTATTTCTTTATTTATTGATCATCTCCAATTTTTTCAATGTCCGTTTGTTGAGATTTAAAAAATTATTTAACAAGAAGCAAACGTTAAGGATTTCAATAGGACCTAGCTGACTAGAAAATGTTTCAATAACTCTTACGCTTAAAGAGTATCATACCATTAAATTTCTAACAAAAAAATGATATATACACTAAAGTCCCAATATTTTCAACGATTTGATAAGAAAGCCCTAAACTTTATTTTTTTGACAGTAAAGTCCTAATTGACGATTTGACAAGAAAGTCCTAAACTTTATTTTTTGACAAAAAAATCCTAATTACCGTCTAACCGGGAAAAAATGATAAAAGTGTCAAAAATTGCCGGTAATTTGGACTTTACTGTCAAAAAAATAAAGTTTAGGACTTTCTTGTCAAATCGATGAAAATATTGGGACTTTAGTGTATATATCCCTTTTTTTAACATTAAAATAACACAAAAATTGAAGTATTTTAATAATTAGCAATAAAAATATATATATGTCTAAATTTAACTAAACTACATTTAAAAATCCAACCACTATATATGTTGTGCACGTAAGATCTCTCTCTGCTACACTACACAAAGGCTCATCACAGCTACATTCACGGATTCACATACCATATGGCCGAGTCAACTCGCTCATCGTCCCCCAACGCGCCACCAAATCTCTCCGCCACAACAATCCAAAACACCAGGTCTTGGCGTCTGGGTTTATTCCTCTCCGCCGTGGCCACCGTCGTGATAGCTTTACTTCTAGTCCGATTTGATACCTTCGATGCGGCTCCCTACTCCTCCGACGAGTTAGCTAAGAAACCGATTACTGTAATACCACGAACCAATCCTCGAGTGCTCCATGGTTCCGAAAAGATAGGGGAGGGTCAGTTATTGGCTCCTGAAGACATCCTGTATGACCCGAAGTTAGGGGTTATTTACACCGGCTGTGTTGATGGCTGGATCAAGCGAGTGACGGTGAATGACTCGGTGGTGGAGGATTGGGTTAACACTGGTGGCCGGCCTCTTGGACTCGCTCTTGGTTATTCCGGTGAAGTTTACGTCGCTGATGCTTTTAAGGTTTGTCTCTACTCTGTAGAGTATATAATAATAGTCATAATACACAAACAAAACCTCGACAGGATAAAATCTGGTAAGGTGGCATGTGATTGAAAAAAAATCAATGAATTGAATTTATTCATATTTTTTTTGATAAATTTAATTTAATATACTTTTTCTTTTATTTTTCTAATTAACGAAATTTAAATATTCGCTTTTTAATAGACAACACAATACTTTATTACAGCGCCTGCACGTGATGTAACGTGAAACTTAAGTCAACTGATTGCCAAATACATATATTTGTATATACGTATTAATTAAGTAAATGTCTGAAAAAATGAACTTCTAGATCTAAGAGGCTGCTTTCATTTAATTTAATGCTTTTATGGAAACAAAATTGACATGAAAATGACACGTTTAGATCTTGACTTAGATAGGGGTGAATAAAACCAAACCGACAAAAGAAAACCAATAAAACCGCAATAAATTACAACCGAAAAACCGAAATCGATGCAGAAATCAATGGTGCATATTTAATTTTTGCAAAAACCGAAGGTCAACGGTGCGGTGCGGTGCGGTTTTTATCCAAAAAACCGGTCCACCAAAAACCGAACCGCACCGCAAACGTGTATAGTAATAAATCAATTAATATATATTATAATGTAAAATACTTATAAACGATGATATATTTATTATATGTTTACTTTGTGTTTGTGTAAGATTATATGGGGCAAAAAAAAATCTATTGTTAGCCAAACGTAATAATCGACATGTGTAACAAGCTTGTAAAAAATTAATTCATAGTCAACCAACCTTCGATTATTAATTAGTTTTTGAGAGTAGTCACATGTTATATTTTAAGCTACTTAGAATTTTTTATTATGTATTTTTGTTTTAGGCTGGAAATGAATGGTTTCAAGAATGAAAAAAAAAATCACAATACAAGCTTACGTGCACATGGTTTTCAGTTCTTACGCTTTTAGAAAACCGCACCAATAAACATAAAAAACTGCACCAAAGTCTAGACACGGTTTAAAACTGAAACCGCATTTAAAAACCGTAAAACCGAACTGTTGCAAAACCGTACTCAACGGTTTTAAGAACTAAAAAACCGCACCATATGGTTTGCGGTTTGGTTTGGCCGTAAAACCACACCAAACCGCACTATGTTCACCCCTAGATAAATACATATTTATTTTGTTAAGAAAGTATATGTTTTATTTATGATTTAAAAGATATTTTAATAACCATAAAAGCTGTGTTGGATTTGCATATTATAATTTCTTGAAAGTTTGATTATTTTTATTGATTTTATTTCTTCGGAACTCTTTCTACTATTCCATTTATTTTTTATTTTTTTTTAATTTTTGCTTGTGATCTCTTTTATAATTTTATTGCTTCCACTTCCCTCATTCTCAACTCATGTAAATTTAATAATTCTCAAGCATTATTTTTACATTTTAAATAATGTATAAAATATAAACAAGACACGGCAATTTAAACTAAAAGAAAATTAAATATCATACTATACTTATAAAGTAAGCATTTTTCCTTTCACCACATCAATTTGAAACTCCTAACTTTTCATATTTCCATATAATATACTTTTTAACTTAAATATGTTATTAATTACAAATATTATCATAAATGAAAGACTTCTTAAATTATCAATAACTTCAATATAGTGTTAAATGCATAACCTAAATTAATATATCAAACAAACTTAAAAATATAGTGTAAAATTAATATATCAAATAAATTAAAAAAATTCAATGTATATTTTTTACAAGGAGTTAAAAGGAAAATATTAAATACAATAAATGTAAAAGAACATAAATCTAAAAGTAAATTTAACTAAAAGATCTCCAAAAACTATTTTTTTATAATAAATAAATAAGTTGTTTTTGAATTAATTTATAATAATAATAGTTAAAATAACATAAAGTTATAAATTGAATTATGTTACATCACAAACAATGATTGATAATTTGAATAATCATCATGATGAAATTAAAACGACGTCAAATTTTTTAAAGTTAATAAAATCATAACATTAGTTAATTAAAATAGATGAGAAATATAATTAATTTTATACACACGTAAAGAATGAGTAGATACCATTAAATAATTCTATTTTAGTAATTGTTATATTATCTATTGTTCAAATTAATTATAATGTTATATTAATTAAATGTCTAAATGCAATAATAATTATTTTTTAGTTAATATAAATGACATAAATATTTTCAATGACATATGATTATTAATTGGTTAACTAAATAATTTTATTCCGCGCAATGCATGGGTATTCTCCTAGTTCTTCTATATTTTCTTGCTATTCATGTCTTATCAATGTTAAATGTTAACATGTGTCATATTTAATAAAGTTAAAAATATTAATATATTTATCACTATTTAACGTGTATAAAATGATAGATAAAAATAAAATATAGAAGAATGTTTAATTTATCTAAATTAAAAAATAATAATAATAAAGAGTCATAAATATATAAGATTTCATTAAAATTAGTCCATATACGATGCAAATTGCCCCTATAATTTGTCTAGTACTTGCTTTTAACCTTTCTGAAAATCGGCACAATTGTCCAAAAGGACGGGCTATGGCTATTAAACACCTATGGCTTTTAAGCATCTAGGCACGTATAGACAGCGCCTATTTGGTTTTTTTTAAGATCGTTTTTTAGGGGGAAAATGACTTAGGAGGGTAACTACCTCTTATCCGTGTTCATATATTGGCAACTTCTTTTTTTTTATACATAAAAAGCAACTAACTTGTTTTAACTGTGTAACATCCAAAAAATCATGACCAAAAATTTCGTTTTTAATTTAATACTAAAACCATAATTGTCAAACCATTAATGTAATACTCCGGCATCGGGCCCCGCTCGGCATCAGGCCCCACCCGGCATCAGGCCCCGTCCTAAGAAACATACTCTGCTAATAATGAGATACAGAACCTCGTCCGTATTCAGCTAGTTCCAGCCAGGGCTTCAGCAGTGCAAGGTGAGTTTCCTCACCGTGTGAATGAGTCTAAGGCCACAATGCCAGCCCATGTAGTCTATGAGTAGGAAGACCCGGGGGTTAGCCCTAGGCATTATATGCTAGTATGTTATTCCGGACCAAGGTCCGATGCCGGGCGGGTACCCGAGGAATGTTTGCATGTTAGATTATACTTGTTGTCTGTGTGATACTTGTATGTGCCTAGTAGAGAGGTGAGTGTGGGCGAGGTCCCGTATCTCATCACTAGCTGAGTACAGACGAGGTTCCGTATCTCATTATTAGCAGAGTATGTTTCTTAGGACAGGGATACAGTAGAGTATGTTTCTTTATGTGTTATCATGTTATATGATTGTATGTGTTTAGCGGGCGGGGCCCGGAGACAGGCGGGGCCTAAGAGAGACAAATATGTATACTGAGCTGGGCTCGATGCCAGGCGGGGCCTGATGCCGGGTGGGGCCTGATGTCGAGCGGGGCCCGATGCCGGAGTATTAAATTAATGGTTTGACAATTATGGTTTTAGTATTAAATTAAAAACGAAATTTTTTGTCATGATTTTTTGGATGTTACACAGTTAAAACAAGTTAGTTGCTTTCTTATGTACAAAAAAAAAGTTGTCAATATGTGAACACGGATAAGAGGTAGTTACCCTCCTAAGTCATTTTCCCTTTTTTAGGCCAAAAAGAGTAGTGTCAAAGAAACCACTCTCCCCCCACATTAGACGCACCATCATATTTTACCATAAAAATATGGTTTCTTGCCACCACACCGAAAAAGTGATGCTACACTTTTTTTATCAATTGAATTTAAATAAAAACTTTAATTTTAATAAAAAACATAGCAAATCATTACTTCAAAATAAGAAAACATTACTCGTATTAACATATTAACATAAAATCATACTTCATAGTTTATATAATAAAAAAGATTCATTATTATTAAAAAATTTATTATTATCTAGATATAAAAAGAAAAATAAGAAAAAAAAATAGAAAGCAAGATATAGAAGGGAAAGAAAAGAGTTAAATTGGGAAAAAGAAAATTAAATACACATTTTTGTTGGAAATAAACGTTAAAGGAATTGATTTTAATATAAAAAAATTAGATTTCTAAAGCAAAATAAATAGGAAAGAAATATATATATATATATATATATATATATATATATATATATATATAGAGAGAGAGAGAGAGAGAGAGAGGTACGGCAATATATACCGCACTGCGGTCAAGACCGCACCCAAACCGCAGGGAGGGGGCGGTGTTCGCTACCTAGGTGTCAAGGGTGCACTTCCTCTACCGCACCACTCCCCCACGCCTTAGTTGTAATTGACCGGACCAGATTATTTTAGGCCCAATTCAGTATCCAGCTAGTGCAAAGCGTAGAACAAGAAAGTTATATTCTTCGTTTTGCGGATTTTGGCGGATAGTGTACCTATATGGAGGACTGTTATAGAATAAAAAAACATATAAAAATATAAAAATGACCAAAGATGCCAATATTCTAAACTTGAATAAGCATGAAAATATTAAAAAATATATTACATCAAAACGTATAAAACTCAAATTTATGTCTACATATGTAAAAATAAGCAAATAAGTTTTTTTTTTTTAATTTAACGAGCTGAAATTCTAAATTTATATCGAAACGTTGATCACCTTAAATTTATATCGACACATACATAAAAATAAACATATAAAAGTTTAGTATTTTTTTTTAAGTTAATGAACCAAAATTATTAAAAAAATCATATTATATATATATTACAATGGATAAACATAAAATTTTAAAAAATAAAAGGGGCAAAAGCAACATTTTAAAAAGTGCAGGCTAGAAAGTTAGTTATCATTTTACAAAGTAAAATAGAATACTTAAAGTTGTCAAACCACAAAAAATAGGGACAAAATAGAAACTTGGGAGGACTTAAGTTGCCAAACAACAAAACAGGGCCGGTCCAAACGTATATGAGGCTCAGGTCGAAAAGAAAAAAAAAGGGCCCCTTAAAAACAAATATAATAAAGATTCAAAAAAATATCATTTATTCTTCACTATAAACGCGTTTAATTAACAATAACAAACAAGTCAAATTGTTTATCTTTTGAGTTATTTTGAGTTTGAACCAACTTTAGGCCCTAAAAATTATTTAAGTAATAATTTTTTATATATATACATTACATAGCCCATAAATTTTGGACTCCCTGGAGACATGAGCCCTGGGCGGTCGCCTGGGTTGCCCAACGTCTGGACCGGCCCTGCAACAAAACTATCAAGGTAGGGACCAAAGGTGGCAATATTCTAAAATCATGTGGCATAAATCAAAAGGACACAAAGTGTGTGTAAGTGTGTGTGTATATATATATATATATATATATATAATATATATATATATATATATATATATATATATATATATATATATATGTATAATAACAATAATAATAATAATAATTTCAGAGGTCCTTAAGACACACAAAACCGGATTCGGATTGGTTTCAAAATTGGATCGGATTTAGTAAAAAAAGTGAAAATTAGAATGAGTACAAATCCGATCGGACCAAATCGGTTTTCGAGCAAAAACATACAAAGCTATAGTAACCTTGTTAGGATCGGTTTGAAACTAGTTTGAAAAAACCTTTGTTTTCGCCATTTTTCTGCATTTTACTGAATTTGATTTTGGGGTCGGAATTTAACGAAATTTTCATGTTTGATCAAAAGCGGACCAATAAGCAAAAATCACAACTTTGCATATAGGTTCAAAACAACATTGTTCTATTGTTAATTTTTGGAATATTGTTTTTCGGGCATCTAGGATAGTACAATGGGTGAACATCACTCTTGAAATCCCTCAAAAACTTGTATTAACTACAAGTTAAAGAAGTAATATATGGAAACAACATTTTTGACTATACGAAAAGTAGTTTTTTATTTTTGTAGGTTTGAAAACCATTTTCAACCTTCCATGTCCCAAACCGATCCCAAATCGTTGGATCGGATTCAAACCATTTTCGGTTCCTAAACTGGTTTCTTTTGCACCTCTATCATGGAATCCCGGTACAGTTTATGAATTTAGTTTAAAATATGCTTGAATAATTGTTTAATTCTTTTATAGGTATGTAATAATAATAATAATAATAATAATAATAATAATAATACAGGTTTATTCTTTGATAATCTACTATTATTTTGATAAAAAAAAATGGTTTAATTCACATTTTAAAAGTAAAAGTGCACAAGATGCTCTTAAAACTAGTATATGAAAACAGTGGACGAAATCTACAAAGACATAAAACAAGGACGTGATTATATCACTATCTTTAAAGAATATTAGTCTCCACTATACTGTTGATGGATCTAGGCAAATTCCTCCCAAGATCTCCTCCAGTTTTAAGAGTTTCAAGACATAATCCCATGAAAGGCATGAACTCTTCTCATAAACATGGCTTTGAACATTTCTGTGATATTGTGAAGAAGACAAAACAGCCATTAAATGAAAATGAAGACATAACTCGTGTATTTATAGCACAAAATTCCAACACTTGCAACTTTAAAATAATTAATTGGTTTTTCTAGAAAACCCAAAACTGTCAACCAAAATTTAACGGAAAGGTTAACTTGCCAAAAAAAATTGATTATCAATATATAGTCCCTCAATATAATAAGTTTTTTCCAATAACCCCGACCTAGCCTCATTTAAGAGTCTCCTTCAACGTGTGAAACATGACTTTAGTTTTTTGTCCATTACGGCGTGTTTGGGATTATTTTTTTAGCTCTAAAGTCCTTTTTTATAGAAGGACTTTTTGTAAAAGTTCTTTTTCCAAAAGTAATGGTTTAAAATGTGTTTGGATGGAAAAGTTGCTTTTGAGGGACAAAAATCCCAAAAGTCACGATTTTGTGACTTTTAAAATCAATATTTTTTCCCTTGCTCAAAAGTTGTTTTAAAAAGAATTTTTCAATTTGACAAACATCTTTTGAACTTTTTTGACTTTTTGGAAAAGTGAAAAGTGAAAAGTTGTTTTTAAAGCAATCCCAAACACCCTCTACTTTTTACTTTTATAGGGACTACTTAAAATAACCCAAGATGGTGAAATAGAAGTCTTGACAGACGAGGCCGAGGGTGTAAAATTTGGAACCACAGATGATGTAGTCGTTGCAAAAAACGGTGTATTGTACTTCACAGACGCCTCTTGGAAATACGAGTTGCATGATTTCGCATTAGACATATTCGAAAATCGACCTTACGGAAGATTCATGAGCTATGATCCATCCACAAAGCAAACCAAAGTCATTGCTCGAGATCTCTACTATGCCAATGGTGTTGAAATTTCCCCAAATCAAGATTTTGTCATCTTTTGCGAAACCCCAATGTAATGTCAACATCTCACTTCCCTTTTCCCCATTTCATTACAATTTTGACATATTGGTATTGTGAATTGAAGGATGAGATGCATGAGGTACTATTTAGAAGGGGAAAAACAAGGTTCAATCGATGTTTTTATTGATAGATTGCCCGGTATGCCTGACAACATTCGGTATGATGGCCAAGGCCACTACTGGATTGCGATTCCCACTGTAAGTTGATTGTTCTGATATCATGTTAGATATATGATGTCAGACTGTCAGTGTCAAGCTGATTTATACAATTTATTTTATTTTTTGCAGGAGCATACATACGAATGGGACCTTGCGCGTAAATATCCATACATACGAAAAGTTTTTGCATTTTTAGAAAAGTACTTGAAAAGACCTTCTGTAGAGAAAAACTCAGGGGTAATAGCCGTAAATTTGGATGGGGAGCCAATTGAGCGATACTATGACCCTAAACTGACATTTGTAACAACAGGAATTAAGATCGGTGAACATTTGTATCTCGGGAATCTTGCAAAGAACTTCATTATTCGCCTCAACCTTACTCAATATCCTGCTATTGCATCCTCTTCAACAACATGATCAACACTTGTTTTTTTATACCGCTTTGTAATTTTAGAAGATTAATGTATATGTCCACTTGTTTTTAAAAAAAAGTTAATTGGGAGAAATAGTAAGGTACTTTATTAGAATTTTCGATTTTAACAATGTAATTTAAGTTTTACTAATAAGAACAATTTCTTCCCATTTATAGCAACGTAGCATTTTGATGTTTGTGCAAAAGACGTAAATGCCCTCCTTATCCTCATCATTGGAAATAGCCATGGAAAATTTAAAAGCAACCTAAGTGAAGATTTGTACAACCATCATCAATACCAATTACCAAAGAACAAAACCGATCATTTCCCTTTACAGATCACACTTCATGGATCGACTTATTCAAACTAAAAGTCTAAAACCATTGTGTAAAGAATGATATAACAAAATCAAAATGGCAAAAATGGAAAATTACACTCAAGATTGGAGTCATTCTAGTGCAGATATGACTGCATCAGCAACTTCTTGTGTTGTGCTACTTCCTCCAAGATCTTTTGTACGATATTTTCCCTCAAAAATGACACGTTTCACTGCATTTTCAAGGCGATCTGCATAATCAGGAAGCTGAAGGTGTCTGAGCATCATGGCTGATGAGAGGAATAAAGCCACAGGGTTTGCTCTCTTCTTCTCAACAATTTTTGGTTTCCCAACATTCCCAGCTGATGCACCTTGCTCAAAGATTGCATACTCAGTTCCAACATTTCCTGCAACAATTTAAATCATAATGGATGTTATTAATTAGGTCTAAATTGAAGAAAATCAAGAAATAGCAACAAGAGTACTTACCTCCTGGCATGACACCTGTCCCACCTGCTATTCCAGCAGCAGTGTTTGCAACTAGGTTGCCATAGAGGTTAGGGGTCACCTGCAAGATTCACTGAAGTAAAAAACTACAATTGGAAAGAAAACAAGTGGATGAAAGATGAAGAAGATAAGATTAACATACCATGACATCGAATTGCTCAGGCTTTGAAACAAGTTGCATGCAGCAATTATCAACAATGATTTCGTTGTATTTGATGTTGGGGTATCTTTTAGCAATCTCCCTACAAGATTCCAAGAAAAGACCATCTGCAAGCTTCATGATGTTTGCTTTATGAACAGCTGTTACAGTCTTTCTGTTGTTGAGGTGAGCATATTCAAAAGCATACTGTGCTATACGTTCAGAGCAGAACTTTGTTATCACCTAAAATGACACCATAATCAGACACAATAGAAAGAAACTAATATACTGCAGTTCAAGAGTAGCCAATTTCACATAGGCATTTCATCGAACAACAAGCATGCGATGATAATGAAATTAAGAAACCCAAATGTACCTTAAGACTTTCAACGACACCAGGAACAACCTCATGCTCCAAACCCGAATACTCCCCCTCCGTGTTCTCCCTGATCACCACGATATCGACGTTTTCATGCCTAGAAGGCAACCCAGGCAAATTAAAACAGCTCACAAGCGAGACATACAAATCTAGTTCTTTCCTCAACAGAAGATTCAACGAATTAACCCCTCCGCCCACCGGCGTAATCAATCCGCCCTTCAAACAAACTCTATTCTTCTTAATCGAAGCCATAACATCATCGGGTATCGTGTTCATGTCGCCATGAACTTCAAATTTCTCGAAGGTAACCGGCGCACGCATTGCCTCGAAGACCTGTTCAACGGCGCCGGTCACCAAAGGGCCGATCCCATCGCCTGGGATTAGAGTAACGAGTCTTGGAATACCCTCTCCGGTAATAGGGTTAACGGGTATCGAGCCGCCGCGTCCGGGTCGCGGCATGTAGGTTATGGAGCGTAGGCATGATCGGAGATGAGGAGGGGTATCGGAGAAGAGTTTCTTTAGAATTGGAACTGTTCTTTGAGCCATTTTAAGAGGTATATATGGGTTTCTGGAGATCTGTGCAAAAATTGTTTTACTGTGTTCTTAACTCGTAATGGTAATTTTTACCTTCTTCTCAACGCTCTGCCATTAACGGGCTTTTCCGAGAGGAGAACCCATAAAAGCTGTTTTTTCCGTTCTACGGCTTTTGACGAATATTATGTTTATTAAAATGTTCTCTAACAAATAAATATGTGACAAAAGGAATATATTATTGACAAAAAATATATTATATATTTTCCAATGTAACATGTATGCTGTAAATTGATAATTAAATAAATAATTTGGTTATCGAAAATAAAATAAACTTAAATCCAATTATTTATTTCATATAGAAAATTATTATTATTATTTTAGATTTAAGTCCCGTTTCATAGTTTCTATTTGGAAAAGTGCTGTCTGAGAAAGTTTTCTAACTGGGAAAGAAACTATGTTGTTTGATTGTACATCTAATTGACTATGCTGAATGGTGAATAAAAGTAATAATTCAATAAAAAATAAATTTAAAAAAAGTTATTTAAAAAAAATTAATAATCCAAGAAAGAAAGAAAGAGACGGGGTCTGGTGCATAATTGTCTTTTCAGCCTATTCAGCCAGAAAGATATGATTTTGGGGCTTTCTGGGAAAGACATATCTTACCGGGAAAGACCCATTTTTTTGTGCAAATCAAACAGTCTTTCCGGTCCATTCAGCCAGAAAGATCTGTTTGGACCTGGAAAGATGCGTATCAAACGGGGCCTTAGAATATAATGTCACCCTTTTTGGAGTGTGTTAACTAAACCTGAACCCAATGAGATACGGACATATGACAAGTTGACAACTCTTATTAAAATGCTTAACTCAAGAATCAAGTGATCACCAATCTCATCATCTCTACCTTCTTGTTAGGGGTTTGATTTTCTTTAGTTATATATTTTCTATATATCAAAATTTTTGAAGTTTATTGATGGAAAGCCCTTGGCAAAAGAAAGCCCTAAAAGGTGTGTGGTTTGATATCTCGCAAATTGATATAGAGGTAAGTGTTAAAGGCATCGTTCTTAATAATCTCTTTAAAATAAAGGTGGGTATGGGGGATAAAACATTTTTTTGGAAAGATGTGTGATGTGGAAATGTAGCTTTAAAGGATCTTTTTCCTAACTTATATGTGGTTGAATCTAACAAAGATTGTTTGGTGTTTGATAGAGTTGGAGGGGTGACAGGTGCGAGTTCTAGGTGATCCTAGAGTTGGTCTAGACAGCTACGAAATGGAAGAGAATCTAACCAAATTTCTGTTTTACTTAGCATGCTGAACAATTTTCAGTTTACTACTTGGCTTGATAGATGGCAGTGGGTTGGGATGCTGGAAAGTCGTTTTCAGTGAAAGTTGTTAGAATTCTCATTGTTGATTCAGGTGTGAGCAAAGATGAGAAGTTTAATGGGATTAACTGGATCCCTCTTAAGATAAATTGCTTTGTATGGAGACTTGTCAAAAATAAAATGCTAACTTATGACAATTTATTAAAAAGGGGTGTTACTTTGAATTCGAGTTTATGCCCATTTTTGTAGGTTGTTTGAAGAGACATGGAGCACATTTTCTTCTCCTGTGGAGTTGTTGTGAAATTGTGGACCTAGTTGCTAGAATGGTCATCTATACTTCCATCAAAGCCTACATATTGTTCGGTTTTGTTTGATATGGTGAATACAAGTGCTGATGAAGTTATGATGAAGAAGTTGAGGTTATCTCTTATCTATACAACCTTATGGATCATTTGGAAAGCTAGAAATTCCATTATTTTTAAGAATGAGCGGTGAGCAATCATGCTTATTGCGGATGATATCACTATCTCCACTTTTAATTGGATCAATGGTAGTTCAAATTGTAGAAAAATTGTTTGGTCTGATTGGTGTATGTCTCATGTTATGAACTCGTTTTTGTAATTGTATGAGCTCCTCATTTTGGTTTTTTCTTATTAACGTTATTGCTTAATTGTTGCAGTTCAAAAAAAATCAAAAATACCATGGGGATGGAAAACATTGAAAGTTGATCTTTTGGAACTGAAATTAATGAAAACTAGAAGCGTCCTCCCCCTGCGTTGCGGGGGTTTGAAGGTGCTGTTTTTATGTGCAAGTAGAGTACATTGCCTTAATTGGGAGCCACAATTAAGTATGTTGTCATTCTCTGCAATTCGCCCTATTACAAACACAGTAAAAAAATGAATGTACTTTGGTATTTAGATGCTTAAAATGATAAAAATAAAGGACATTGCCCTTTCCAGAAAAAAGGATCCAACTTACAGAAAACTAAACATTAAAATGAAAGTACATTGCCCTATTTTGATTTAAGTTATGCCAAATTCCACCACCTACCAAATGTTGGATTAGGTGTCTAAGCCCATAATTATAATTTTTATAAACTTGAATTGATAATAGCACAGTCCTTTTGTGTTGCCTTGAAACCTGACAATTGAATTGGATAACTTTTGGAGAGAGAAGAATGATTTGTTAATTTATTACTTGGTTAATAAATTAATTAGAAATCAAAAATAAATGATTTATTAGTGTATTATGGAAATAATATATTAATTAGAAATCATATTATTTAATTAATATTTAATCAGAAATTAATTTGGAATTAATTTTGGGATTAAATGAATTAATTAAAACTGCAGGGACTAAAGGTGACAATATTCAATATTTAAGCATTGGGCAATTCTAGAACCTCCCTATAGTAGGGGGAACGAATTCTAGATGCTCCTAGGGTTTCCTTGGGCTCTAAGGGTGCATTGGATGCCTTAGGGAGGAAGTTAAGGGATTGGGGTTATCTTGGATACACCTGTCTTATCCAATACCTTCCTAACACTTATATAAACCCTCCTTAGGGTTAAATTTCGGCATAACCCTTCATTCTAAGTGCCTTGACCGAAATTTTGATCTATTACTCTCTCTCTCTCTCTCTATAGTATTCCTTGGTTGCTTAAGTTTTTTGTGAACCATTAGAGGCGCGACACTTGTGACGCTTGCTACAAAAGGTCTTTCAAGCAAGGATTCAAGATTGTTTAGAATAACAATCTTAAAGGTATATTTCATAACCCTTTTATTATGTGAATTTTGATTATACATTAGGGATCTAGGGTTTATACTTTGTTGTTCATTATTGTATGTTCAATTAGAAGAAACGTAGATCTTCAATTAGGGTTGCATGCACACATAGGATTGTATGTTATGCTTAAAACTCATCAGTGGTATCAGAGCCTAGGTTTAGTTTTCTAATAAATTGATACTAATATGAACTTGAACAAGGAGGAGAAAACAAAATCGTCATTCTGTTCTTCGAACTTGTCGAGTTGTTCTTCGAACTCGACGTGTTGGACTGCAACACGGCGTGTTGGACTGCAACACGGCGTGTTTGCATGTCAGATCTTGTCACACCCCCAAACCAAGGATAGCGGAAACGTCCGGGGGTGGAGGACTTCATGTAAAGTATCACAACAACGAGTATAATAGTGCTCAAAGTAAATACAACCATCATAAATATAATTGAAAAGGTTACACCATAGTATATGTTTACATGTTTCAAAATCAATTACATTATGATGACAAAATAAACTGTTTGACGATTTAACGTCCCATCCTCAAAGTACTAATGTTTTCCTGTTTCACTGATTTCCTGAGAATACAAGTAGTTTTGAAAAGTGTCAACAATTAAGTTTGTGAGTTCATAAGAGTTTTGTTGGAGAAAAAAACTGTTTTCCTTGTAAAAGCGACAAAGTATGTTTCCAGAAAATCCAATATTTTCTTTATTAAGTGAAATGAATGCTTCTATGTTATGCGATAATGAACCCTAGAGGGACCCATAGATTCCTTCTATAATCGCCCAGTGTATATAAGTTATATAAAATTTAAGTTAAATAAACCGTTGAATATAATGGGTCTGCCCTAGGTCCACAACCAAACAAGGAACAGGAGATGAGGCGGGCCCACCAATTCTAAGTCGATTGTGACTAGATTCTTATATAACTCTAGCATATACACTTAGCAATTATAGCTGAAGCCTAACAATTCTAGACGTAATGTAGTTTTAATAGAGATATGTTTCCAAAGAAAATCCGATATTTTCCTTAAAGAGTGAATCGTAAGTTTCTATATTAATAAATAGTGCATCCTAGAATTTCCTATAGTTTCATTCTATATTCTCTAAGTGTATATAAGTTATATAAAATTTAAGTTAAATAGACCGTTGAATATAATGGGTCCGCCCTAGGTCCACAACCAAACAAGGAACAGGAGATGAGGTGGGCCCACCAATTCTAAGTCGATTGTGACTAGATTCTTATATAACTCTAGCATATACACTTAGCAATTATAGCTGAAGACTAGCAATGCTAGATAGAATGTAGTCTTAAAAACCAAAGACCGAGACTATGCTTATCATAATTCATCAAGTAGTGGTAGTGGACATAAACTATACATATCATAATTCACCAAATAGTGGTAGTGATAGTGATCATGAATTATGCATATTATAGTTTATCAAATAGTGGTAGTGGTAGCGAACATAAACTATACATATCATAATTCACCAAATAGTGGTAGTGATAGTGAACCTGAATTATGCATATTATAGTTTATCAAATAGTGATAGTGGTAGTGAACCTAAACTATACCTATTATAGTTCTAGCATGTTTGTTGGTGATGTATAAGGACCCTTTTCTATGTAAGTCGAATGTATAGCAAAATATAACTATGTGTTATCATGCCTTATTTTTGTACTAATGGTAATAATGGAGGATTCTTACAATTCAGTGAGTATTTTCTGTTATATAATTATACCACAACAAGAAACACATGTAAAATATGAAATCTTCAAATATTAACACTTTGCTCACAAGTTACAAAGTGTGATGAAAGTTATAAGCTGTTATCTAGATTTTTACCTTTCTACACTGTTTTAGAAAAATCATACGAAGTCAAAAACTGATTCCGTAAATTCTGAGAGTTCACAAAATGT